ATCCCCTGCAAGTTGCGCAGATGGTGATGGGCATATCTGGTCCTCATCAGTAAATGTAAACATTTTAAGTCGGTACAGTAAAAGGAGATATTAAATATCAAAACTATTCATAAATATGTGAAATGTTTTTAGCTTTCTTTGTACAATTTCTAAAATCTGAGTTTGTATTTAAGTTATATATATATAATACATATGTATATGTAAAGATATAAAAAAAATAAAAGTGGATTGTTTAATTTCCATAATTTTGTGAAGTTTCTAGTTTTCCTTCCATTACTGATTTCAATCTTCATCTGTTGTGGTCGGAAAGATACCTGGTATTATATCTATCTTCTAAAATCCACTAAGACTTGGGGCACCTGGATGGATCCGTCAGTTAAGCATTCGACTTTGGCTCAGGTCGTGATCTCATGGTTTGTGGGTTTAAGCCCCTTGTCGGGCTCTGTGCTGACGGCTCTGAGCCTGGAGCCTGCTTTGGATTCTGTGTCTCCCTCTCTGCCCCTCCCCTGCTCACACTCTCTTTTTCTCTATCAAAAATAAATATTTAAAAATTAAAAAAAAAAAAAAAAAGAACTTGGGAGCCTTGAATAGCAGTTCAGAGTTTTCTGATACACCTCCATTACCCTGCTTTTTGCCAGCTATTATGACCAGTGCATTTTGGAGGCCACGCTTCACAACTGAGACTTAAAGATCCTTTTATGGAGAGTTCTCTAGTTGAGTAGAAATCCTTCTATAGAAGTTGGCTGGGATTTGGAGCTATACTACAAAGCTACAGTAGTTAAAATAGCATAGTCGTGGCATAAAAATAGGCACATCGACCAACGGAACAGAATAGAGACCAGAAATAAACTTCACGTATATAGTCAACTAATATTTGATAAGGAGCCAAGAACATACGGTAAGGGAAGGGCAGTCTACTCAGAGCATGGGAAAACTGGATGCACACAGGCAGCAGCATGAAATTGGGCCTCCTCCTGACACCACTCACAAATAGTAACTCAAAATGCCTCAGACTTAAACATAAGACCTGATACTCTAAAATTCCTAAAAGGAAACAGGGAAGAAGTCGCTCAACATTGGTTCGGCAACGATTTTGTTTTATGACACCAAAAGCACAAACAACAAAAGGAAAAAAAATCAACAGGTGGGACAACACCAAACTGAAAAGCTTCTGCACAGCAAAAAAGCCATCAACGAAATGAAAAGACAATGTGCAGAATGGAAGATAATTTTTGTAAACCATACATTTGCGGTTAATATCCAAAATATGTAAAGAAATCATAAACTCAACAACAACAAAAAACCCCAAACCATCCAACTTAAAAGTGGACAGAGGAGGGCACCGGGGTGGCGAAGTCACTTGGGCGTCTGACTCTTGGTTTCGGCTCAGGTCATGATCTCACAGTTTTGTGGGTTCGAGCCCCACATCGAGCCCCATGCTGACAGCACAGAGCCTGCTTGGGATTCTCTCTCTCCCTCCCTCTTTGCTCTTCCCCCACTCGCACTGACTCTATGTCTCTCGAAATAAATAAACTTAAAAAAAAAATGGACAGAGAAACTAAATGGACTATAACTGAATTTTCCAAAGAAGACTTCCAAACAACTGACAGGCACATCACCAGAGAAACGCAAATCAAAAGCGGGGCGCCTGGGTGGCGCAGTCGGTTAAGCGTCCGACTTCAGCCAGGTCACGATCTCGCGGTCCGTGAGTTCGAGCCCCGCGTCGGGCTCTGGGCTGATGGCTCGGAGCCTGGAGCCTGTTTCCGATTCTGTGTTTCCCTCTCTCTCTGCCCCTCCCCCGTTCATGCTCTGTCTCTCTCTGTCCCAAAAATAAAATAAACTTTGAAAAAAAAATTAAAAAAAAAAAAAGCATGATATTTCCTCATACCTGTCAGAATGGCCATCATCAAAAAGACAAGAGATAACAAGCGATGGTGGGGACGTGCACTATTGGTGCACTAAACTGGTTCAGCCACCATTGAGAACAGTATGAGGTGGCTCCAAAAATGAAAAACAGAGCTATTACATCATTCAGCAATCCAACTTATGGGTATACATCCAAAGGAAATGAAAACAGGATACCCAAGAGAAACACACATGCCCTTGTGGAGGGACAGTTGAGTCACAATAGTCAGGATATGAAATAACCTAAGTGTCCGTCAATGGATGATGAGAAGATGTTGTGTGTGCGCGCGCGCACACACACACACACACACACACACACACACACACACACAGTGGACTACTATTTGGCCATGAGAGAAGAGGAAACTCTGCCATTGTCAACAATGGATGGACCTTGAGGACATTATGCTAAATGAAATAAGTCAAACACGTCATGATTCGTGTCTTTTATGTGCGGAAACTAAAAAAGCTGAAATCATGAAAGCGGAGAGTAAAATGGTTACCAGGGGTTGCCGGGCGGGGGAATGGGAGAGAGATTGTTTAAAGGTACATACTTGGGGCTTGGAAGTAAGTCAGTCCCAGAGACCTACTGCACAGTGCTGTGATTATAGACAACAAAAATGTATCATGAGCATTAAACCTGCTAGGTGATTGGACCTGAATTGCTCCCAACACTAGAAGAAATGATAGTTATGTGACCCATAGAGGTGTTCCTAATTCTAAAATGGCAATCATATTACAATATAAGTGTGTCAAATCAATACATTGTACACCTTAAACTTACACACAATGTTGTTTGTCAAGTATCTCTACAAAGAAACGTCAGGGGGTTCTGTTACTCTAGGAAAGACTTACTGTCTCTCTGAATGTTTAAAAGGCATTTCCTGTTGGGAAAAAGCACAAAGATAATGGGGACTTATTTCACTGACAACTTAGAATGCAATGCATTAACCTTAAAACCAAAACCACCAGCTACTTTACTAGCAAAACTGGGTTTATTCAGGAATAGCAGAAATCTACAACCCAGGACAAGTGATCCAAGGAAAAACCATAGACAAGTGAGAATAAGGTACGGGAGACTCTTTTCTAGTTTGTTCTTTTTTTTTAATTTTTAAATGTCTATTTATTTTGAGAGAGAAAGTGTGAGCAGGGAAGGGGCAGAGAGAGAGAGAGGGAGACACAGAATCAGAAGCAGGCTCCAGGCTCTGAGCTGTAGCACAGAGTCTCATGCGGGGCTCGAGCCCACTAGCCCCAAGATCATGACCTGAGCCAAAGTGGGACACTGAACCGACTGAGCTACCCAGATGCCCCCAGGGGGCTCTCTTATAGAGAAAAGGAGGGCTGTTGTAAACAGAAAGTCCACTGGAGGAAACTGGGACCTGGAAGTGTAATGGCTTTTCATTGGCTGATCCATGGCAGTCTCTCACTGGCTGGGCTGTGGCTGGCTCTCATTGCCTGGATTGTTGCTGGAGGAGGAAGAAACCTTCCTTCCTCCCACTGGGTTAGTAAAGCGGGAGCTGCCGTGGAATCCACCTGCAAGGTGCGTCCCTTCCTGTTGGGGCTGCAACTGACCGGAGTGGTAGGGCTGAGAGCTCCCCCTGCTGGCCACCCGATTCCACTCTAAACCACGTTTCCTTTCAACTTTAACAGTATTTTATTTTTAAACTTCTGAAACTTGAGAACAAGACAACCTAGTTAAATAATACAGTTTTCCAAAGCTGCGCATGCTCATTTCAAGCTCAATTTTTTTTTTTTGCCCTGAAATACAGAAACAACTTCCTAAAACTCCTAGACGGGGGCACTACTACTCTGATGATCTGTGATTAGGTCTGTGATCAATCACAGTTGGTAACATCCCTGTTTCTCCTTGGTAAGGGTTTTTAAAAATTCTAGAATAGTGCATTCTTCTAGTCTTACACCAATTTCACTCCAGATGTCTCCTAGAGGCATATGCCATGCACAGGAATCTATCTTCCTCCTTCTCACTTTCACAAGCTTCCGAAATCGGCATCAGACACACTCACCGCGCTACATCGATCAACAACGGTGGGAAGGCTTGATTAGTATTGAGCTGTCAGCCCCTTCTGATGATCCTGATGAACTCACTCACGCGGATGGCCTCAGGTATAAGGAACTTGGTGTGAGCCTGGACAGGAAGCTGCTTCTCCCCGCGGCTCCCACTCCCACAGTATCGGCCTCCCTTGTGTCAAACCTTAGGTGGTTTTTTTTTCAACGCTAAGCTTGAGTTTCAAAAAAATCGTTTCAGGAATAAGTGTGCAACACGAGAAACGGTTTAATTGGGAAGTCTTCTAATTAATGAAAACTAATTTCATTTCTATTTAAAAAGGGGAATGAAAGGACTAGTTATTTTGAAAGGATAGAATGTGGAATGGTTGAAAGGGAACTGGAGTACCTTGCTAGGTGCCAGGGCCGTGTGACATTGGTGAGGACACAAAGGCACACAGGCCCTTGTTCTACTTTGGGAGCTTCTTTCCTGAAAATCCGTTAACAAAAATTTCCTTTCCTTTTCCGATAGGAAACGTCAGGACTCCAGCAGCTGCCACTCTGCGGAAATGCAGCCCAATGGAAAGTAGTTGCCTGACATGCATGGTGGCCTGCAGACCTCTCGGCTACTACCGTAAGGGGTCACGACGGCGAGGGTCACCGTCCCACGCAGAGGGTCACTGTTTCGGGGGCCCGCCCCCGCGGGAGCCCAGTCGCGCCCACGGCTGCGCCACTCGACGAGCCTCAGCCTCCCGACCCCAGGGAGCGCCCCGGACCGCCAGCGCCCAGAGGCTGGGATCGGCGGGAGCGTCCCCGGCCGCGAGTTCAAGGAGGAACCCGCCCAGACAGGCTTCCCGCTGATTGGCCGAACGCGAGGAGGGCCAGAGGTGATTGGTCCGGCCGGACGCCTCTCCGCGCGCACGCCGCGGTCGCGCCTCCTTCCGCCGCCACAGTCTGGTGGGCGGACGCGATTGGAGCAGGCGCGTCGGCCCGCCCGGGCGCGCCCCGCCCCCGCCGGAGAGCGCGACGTCACTACCCGGCGTGCCGCGCGCGGCGCTTCCCCCACCCGCTAATGTTTTGGCCGATTCAAGATGGCGGTGCAGGAGTCAGCTGCTCAGCTTTCCATGACCCTGAAGGTGCAGGAGTACCCGACCCTCAAGGTGGGGTCTGCGGGCCGGGGTAGCGGCAGCGCTTGGCCGGGGCCCGCGGGCCGCAGGGGTTCCTTGGAGAGGGAGGTGGGGCAGGGTGGGGGTCGGGGCGCGGCCTGGGGCACCGGGCGGGGTCTGGGGGTCTGCGCGTCCGGGCTTCCGAGGTCTCGGGGTCTGCGGAGCTGGTCTTCCGGGCTCCCCGGGGCCTGGGGGTCTGCAGGGCCGGCCTCCCCGGGGTCTGGGGGTGGTCTGCGGGGCTGGGCTCCCCCGGGTGTGGGGGTCTGCAGGGCCGGCCTCCCCCGGGTCTGGGGACCCGCGAGACCGGCCTCCCGGGCTCCCTAGGGCCGGTGGGGTCTGGGGTCCTGCAGGCCCGGTGGGTGTGGCGTGTGGCTGCCCATGCCCCTGCCCGGCCTTAGAGGACTTCGTGGCAGGGCGTGGAGCGCGTCTGTCTGGCGCCCTGCTTCGCCCTCTGGAGTCCGATTGTGGCCCCTTCATCCTAAAGAAAAAAACACACACAAAAAAAACCCACAAAAAAACCGTGAACTGCCCCAGTGACATTTCCGGCGGTAGGCAGGCTGGTGACTTTGAGGGCCGGGGTGGAGGCCGGCGTTTCCAGGGTGTGGGGTCGCGGGCGCAAGAGTGCCCGATGTGGCTCGCGGTGGGTGTCCAGCTGTCCTCCCGGAAGCTTAACGTCAGAGGGTGTTGGTATGTTGGCTTCCAGTCACTAATTAGGAGCCTACAGGGAGAGACCTGACGACCTAATGGGAACCCATCTTGTGGGGCGTCACCAAACCTGAAATACAGCCCTTGCCACTCGGTTGCCGGTTGTGTGACCTTGGATGGCCACTTAGCCAAGTCGCCTTCCTTGAGGCTGAAGCCCGCGTCTCTCATAGGAGGGGCTGTACTGGCTCCTTACCTAGTTCGCAGAGGAGTTGATGAGAACAAAGCATCAGGAAACAAGTTCCTTAGGAGACGAAGGCCGCAACATTCCCAGGAGAACTGTGGCTAGGCATTTGTGATTCCAAATTCCTTTCCCGAGAGGCCGGGTAGCTTTTTCCTCCTCGTGGCAGAGCCCAGCGTCCCCTCCACCTCAGTGGTGACAGGTGGCGGCGATGGGTGCGGTGAGCGCTGAGCCCGGGGAGGGGGGCGGGGGGCTGGGGTTTGAATACTGCCCCGCCTTGCTCGTCACTTACTGAGAGACCACTCTGAGATCGTTGACTCCTGTCAGACAGAGTCGTGATCGCAGCAGCGTCGCCTTGGGTGAATTGAGGGACCCGGTAATGCTTGCAGTGGTGCCGGCACTCTTTGGAAGGTACATGGGATAGCTGTCGCAATTCGTCAGAGAGTCACTGTCCTCACCAGAAAGCAGAAGTGAGGCTTTGTTGCTTTTCTTTAACTGGCTGTGGAGCGGTGGTGTTTCTCGGCGCCTTGTCTGATCCAGGAGGACAGGAGAGCGCTGTTGACATGAACCAGCTGCCTGTTCGCCAGGCCCTTTCGAGATTAGGTGCTGGGTGGTGGTATCTCCAACTCCTTGAAGGCCCTGTGGCTCACGTTGTGCCACCTGAGGCCCCGACCAGGCATCATTTGGGTTGATGTTTATCTCCCTCCACCTTCTCCCTCCACCGAAAAAAAAAGGCTTTATTTGGGGAGCTGTGGATTGCTGGCCTGTTGTCTCACTCAGTCCACCACCAGGCCTGTCGTGGGGCTGACAGAATTGTGGCAGAGTTCATCATTTGTGGTGCTGGCTGGTGAGTGTGGGCAACAGGCAGGAAGGGATTTCCCTTTCGAGTTCTTTCTGTTGTTTCACAGCCGTGAATGTGATTTGATTTCTAGAATTATTAAGTAGTCTTTGATTAAAAATAGTCCTGCAGGTATTCATACAGGTGAAGAAATATTGTAGTGTCATTTCGAGTGAGCTCACCAGATTGAAAAGAGTTTTACTTCTGCTTTAGAAGGATTTTTTTCGGGTGCGCTTGCGGGGCTCAGTCAATTAAGCCTCTGAATCTTGAGTTAGGCTCGGGCATGACCTCATGGTTTGTGAGTTTGAGCCCCCAAGGGGCTCTATGCTGGCAATGCAGAACCTGCTTGGGATTCCCTGTCTCCCTGTCTCTGCCCCACCCATGTTTTTTCTTTCTCTCAAAATAAATAAACTTAAAAAAAAAAGGATTTTTCAAATGTTTTTGAGAGCACGCACACGCATGCAAAAGAGAGCATGTGGGCAAGCGAGAGGGGGAGGGGCAGAGAGAGAGAGAGCATCCCAAGCAGGATTCTGCGCTGACAGCACAGAGTTCCACACCTGGCTCGGTCTCACCAGCCACGAGATCACGACCTGAGCTGAAATCCAGAGTCGGACACGTAACCGACTGAGCCACCCGGGCACCCAGCTTTTAGAAAGCTTTAAACATTTTTTTTTAACGTTTATTTATTATTGAGAAACCGAGAGAGACAGAGCATGAGCGGGGGAGGGACAGAGAGAGGAGGAGACACAGAATCCGAAGCGGGCTCCGGGCTCCAAGCTGCAGCACAGGGGCCTAACGCGGGACTCGAACCCACAAACCGCGAGATCGTGACCTGAGCTGAAGTTGGATGCTTAACCGACTGAGCCGCCCAGGCGCCCCTAGAAAGCTTTTAGATGAATTTTTGCGATCAGAGAAGCTATTTCCACCATATCCTCTCACAGATTTAGATCACCTATGACAAATTTTCTGTTGACACATGTGTCCCTGTTGAGAGTTAACATTTTTTTCTAGAAGTTTTCGGGAGTGATTCCTAGTGCACAATGAGGAAGTTTCACCGGGAAGCTAGGGACCCTTGCCTTAGGAACGCACGCTAATACAGAATTCTACAGAATTCCACAGAACGTTGGGAGGCCTGACGCTTAGGAGCTGTGCCGGTCACAGATGCAGGTGCCATGGGCGGGAGGGACACCGAATCCACATCAGGGCGAGGGGAGTGAGGGCTGAGGGGCTGGTGTCCTGAGAGGCCGGTGCTCGCTTCTCCGGTTCAAGGGTGCGTTGTGCAGCAGGGTGGTGGGAGCCGGGCCGAGCCCCCATTGCTGTCCCGACGGCCGTTCCTCCTCACACGTGATGGGACAGGGGTCTTCGCGATTCAGAACATCGGCCAATCGGGGCAGGTTCCTCACAGCCTCGGGGCCGGGAGGGGGCTCGTGGGCCCTGGTGGGCACCGCTCTCACCCGCTGGCGAAGCGGGACGAGAATGGCATGGCCGTGAGGCGCTGCTGCCCGCACGTGCCCACCCGGGCACCCGCTCCTTCGGGAGCCTTCCAGTGTGCGGCGGGCGACGTGGCCAGCACAGGCGCGTTCGGGCTGGGCGACTGCGTGGCGGGGGCCCGGCAGCGCCTCTAGCTTCTGCCCACCAGATGCCAGCGGCAGGCCCGCAGGATGCCTCCAGATACTGCCAGACGTCCCCGGGGGGGCAGAAGCGTCCCGGTGAGAGCCACCGGCCGGGAGTTTGCTCTGCGGAACCTGTTTTTATGTTCTGACCACAGCAGGGAGAGGGGGGTCGGTGGGACACGAGCCCTGTGTCCTGGGCCTGGTCGAGGCTTTTCCTGTCAGCGCCCTGAACCAGAGGCCCTGCTGTAATTACATTTTTTTTTTTTTTAACGTTTTATTTATTTTTGAGACAGAGGGAGACAGAGCATGAACGGGGGAGGAGCAGAGAGAGAGGGAGACACAGAATCGGAAGCAGGCTCCAGACTCTGAGCCATCAGCCCAGAGCCCTACGCGGGGCTCAAACTCACGGACCGCGAGATCGTGACCTGAGCCGAAGTCGGATGCTCAACCGACTGAGCCACTCAGGCGCCCCATGTAATTACATTTTAAAAAGCGTTCTCTCATAAGAGGACCTTATGTTTATTTTCCAAATCATTCTGATCATCCTGTTAATATTTGGGCGCATTCTATTTTTTTTTTTCCCTCAGAGAGCTGAACTACGATAATTTTTTAGAGACCTTTACCGCTACCCAAGTTAGGCGGGGTTTTCATCACAGCCCAGGAGAAGTGGTCTAGAATCGGTCCTTGGGAGACCTGGCTCCGGACCCTGATTCCTCATCTGGAGTCTCGCCCGGGACCTCGTCCGGGCCCTCCCAGCCGGAGGAGGGAGGTTCAGTGCCCCCTCCCAGCTGGCCCCTCTCCCTAACTCGTGACAGGCTGGGGCCTGGGGCAGTGCTCGCAGCGGGGTCTGTGGGCCTACCTCCTGGGTCCCGGCGTCCTCTACGGCAGTGTTTCAGCGTCCCGGGCTTGTGCCAGCGCGAGGCCCAGAGTTCCAGCTTTCGGTGAACTTTCCCAGACTCAGCTGGGGATTTAGGGACTGTGGGTTCTCAAGTTTGAGGAAGGGTGGTCGGCACGAGCGTTTGGTCTTAAGGGACAGATATCCTGATTGTTCTGAGCCCTAGAGAGTGGCAGTCGGCTGGGTCTTTACTTCCTTTCCCTTGAGATCGTTTGGTTGACCGAGTGAGCCCTTCCCTCCCCCAGAAGGTGGTTGTATTACTTGAATCCGGCCTGGGGCCTGGTTCCCTTCCTCTGGTGGGACCTCCAGAACCTTCCGGAGTCCCATCTGCTCTTCCCTGCAAGAGCCCCGTGTTGCCTTCGCCTTCCAGAACCCCCCAGAGCTAGAGCGTGGTCGAAATCCTCCCGGCCTTCCGCTCTGGCCTCTGCACCGCTGCTCAGATCCTTGACCACAGACAAGACACTTGGGGGCACAGGTCGATGTGCCCGCTCTGCTCATGATGCTTGGAAGCAGCCTTGTGCCGGGAGAGGAAGGGCTGTGGCAGCTGGAGGCATGGGAAGCCCGGCGCCAGGCAGGCAGCAGCCAGAGGTCCAGGGCGTGAGGTCCGAAGGCGGGGCTTGCTGGTACCGCCCCCCTCTAGGAGCCCCCCCGCGAGGCACCCCAGGGTAGAGGTGCCAGCTCCTTCGGCCCGCACTCCTTGCTGCTCCCGGAGAACTCTGTCCCCATCCTGGTGCCACCGGGCTTGGCGGGAGGGAGCTGTTAAAC